AGAAAAATTTATTTTGAAATATTTTGGAAATTCTGAAACTTTTTTCAAAGCAATCGTACTGCTTTAACTGCATAGAGACGAAATATCGAAGCGCGTAAGCGCGCGTTGCCGTCTAACGCATAAACATTGGTACGGAACCCATAGGAATGTAAACAAAATTTATACTTATTGTTATAATCTCTATAAAATATCTGATAATTCGATGTGCATATGTCTAATGATCATTTTTGACCTCCAAATGGCATTTTTTTTAATTTTTTTTACTAGATCTCAGAAACCGCTAGACCTGCCTTCATGAAAACCTGATCAGTTCTTCATCTTGTTAATACAAGTAAATGTTTTTTGAATTATTCAAATCGGACGCTCCGTTCTCTTAAAAACTGAGTTACCGTTTTTGCCACTGTTTGCCCCATATCTTCGGAACGGCTAGACCTGCCTTCGCCAAAAACGAATCAGCACGTCTCCTTATCAATACGAATCGAATGCTTTTTGAATTATTCAAATCGCTTCATCCGTGTTCCTGAAATCGTCGACGAAAATTTGTATCCGCACACACTCACATACACGCACATACACACACACATACATACACACACACATACATACACACATACATTCATTTTTTCTAAGGTATGCCAAAATGTTCAGAAAGTTTTGAAACGTAAAGATATATAAAAAATTTAATTTTCGATTTTTTTGCGATTACTATAACTTACCCTACGGGAAGTTAAAAATAAAAAGAAGTTACAGTAGCAAAAGAAGATTTTATTTTTAGCACCTCTTTTTTAATTTGTTTTTTTTTCTACTATGAAGCTACGATTTTAATATGATAAGTATACTTTCATACAGATTTGTTCTTTCCATTAGAGTATATTACAAATGAATTTATGAAGTTGAGTATTTGGTCGATAACGTAGACATACATACGGAGCTTCAGTTGCTGGCTCATTTTCATATTGATCCTACTACATATTTTTTCACTTCAAAGAGTCATATTATCCAATTATCTTTCCATATAACAAAACCAAGCCTCTACAATATACTGTCAAAAAACTCGAAAAAATTTATGAATTCATATTTCAAAAGAACGGCTTGGATATGTATTTAACATGAGCTTTTTGAGAGCTAAATTCACGATTTACTTCTAGACATGTGTTTGTATAGTGCGGTATATAAATATTATTCTCAAGCACCTTCTCTGAAACATAGTGGTTGGCGAATGTGCAGTCAGATTTTTTTCAGTGCATGTAAAAAGTCGAAAGATGTGGCAACACCACTGATGTAGTGCGAATGCGGGCGTCCGAAGCCAGTGGCCGAAGGCGCGGGCCGATTTGCGGACTACGTGAGTGCGCGTTTTAGGCGAAAGCGGGGCTAATTGATAATGGAATACTTACTATGATTTTATGGGTCTTAAACGTTAATATGGGCAACATGCGTTAGCATATTTGAGAAGCATGTATTTTCTAATATAGTTAAATTACTTTTAATATTATTTTATTGTATTATTATATAATTTTGATTTATTTATTACTAAGGAGTCATCCATTAACCGCATGATACTTAAAAGGTGTGGGTGTTAAAAGCGTTTAACAAAAAATCACGAAATATTGAAAGATGTAGGGGTTACTTGATCAAAAAATTTCAAAAAGAACACGAATTTTTTAAGATACTAAAAATGCACGTGATGCTTATCGCCGCTATTAATAATAACGGGTGGTCCATAGCGGTCCTAGTGATCTAGCGATCTTACGGTTTAGATTTTTCTGTAAAGAAAACATATAAAGTATTATAAATCGTTAGAAAGGTCTCAAAATTCTTAATTTTTTTCCATATATCGCAACTTTGAATTCCGCACGGTGTGGCCTACAGGCAAGTTACTATCGATAAATTCCAATTTTTTAAATGGGCCACCCTATATCTTAATCTTCCGCTGATTATATGATATATGTTATGTTATTATCTCATACAACACAATAAAGTGTTAAACGGGATAGCCGAGTATTTAATTGTATTGATGTCAAATTGCTTACCAAATGGTATTTTACAGCAAATCTTGCTTTTGATTTTTTATTATGTAATATAATCCAGTCATTATAGTAAGTTCACTATACAAATTAGGTAAGAAACCTAATACAAATTAGGTAAGAATCTTGGAATTCGAGATACCTAGCTGTAAGTCTGTAAATACTTGTATATTGACACCTAAAAGTTGTCTCAAAACCTACATTGCGTACACCCTACCATATGTAGGTTTTGAGACAACTTTTAGGTGTCAATATACAAGTATTTACAGACTTACAGCTGAGTATCTCGAATTCCGAGATTCTTACCTAATTTAAGCTTAAATTACTGGACTAATAGGTATATCAGACATATAGATTAGATTATTATATACCAATAATATGCTATTACGATTTTGCTGAGTTGACGGCTTATCCTTATATAGTAAGTAGCTTAAAAAATTAGGCTACTTTTTTTTGGAGACTTTTGGAAAAGACTTACAAATGAGCAATAGAATTACGGAAAAATTTTTGGCTAAGAAAGTTTTTATAATTCTTACAAATAGCGATTTCAACAGCATTTTGTTTCGTTTTGTTTGCATTTATTATTAAAATATTGTTAGGTTTTGGATAATTTGTATCCATAACATTGACTTCTACATATTAATCACATTGTTCAAAATTAGATGAGACGTGTTGTAAAAAAATGTGTTAAGGGGCACACCTAGTGTGAAAAATAACATACTAAAATTTTAAATCGATATCTTAGATAGTTTTTGAGTTACAGCCATTTAAAAGAGTATATATATTATATAGTATAACGATAATTTTATCTTTAAACTCTTTTCTCAAAACAGCATTTTCCGAATTTGCTGCAGTGATAACTCCAAAAGAAATGATCCAATCACTATCGAATTTTTTTTACATGTTCTATATATAGTTTTCCGTACAATGACCTATAGATTTTTTGATCTGATCAAAACTCGAATTTTGGCAGGCCAAAAACGATCAAGATTTTGGGTCAAATTCTTTCTTTTCTTTTTTAAAACGGCGGCATATTGTCAATTTTTTATCTTTTATTTGTATTGTAGGTCATTGTACAGATAATATTATCTAGTTTAACGAGATTTTTTTATTATGTTTTATCAACGAAGAAGGCTGCAATCACTGCAGCAGTAGAGGACCTTTTTTTTGGCGCCGCCGGAGATTGCATGTCATTTCAAAAATATTTAATATTTTATTTCAAAAATTTTGCTGTGTATTCTCAAAACATGTGTAAACATACCCTCAAAGCTTGAGAGGTGCTTGAGATTTCAAATAGATGGATTCACTAGTTTTTTGTTGTTTTTTTTTTAATTTCCATAAATGATCTTTTTTTTAGATTGTCACACTAGGTGTGCCCCTTGAATCGCATTTGAAGATTTGAGGTTGTAGGAGAAGGGGCTGTCAACAGGTCAAAGAATTAAGTTTCGACTTATTAGTTGTAAAGCGCAAAATTTAAAAAATATATAAAACTATTGCTCAATTATCCGTTACCCTATAGAGTCGACCATCAGACCGCCGTCCTATGGTTGTCGTCCGGTCTCCCCTACCTGGCCTCTCTGTGTACGGTCATGGAGTCAGTCTGAGAGGGTTTCGTATGGGGCTTGTTCTACAGTGGGCGGCTTGTACCGTGACACCGGGCTTTTTAGATATGATTTACGTCTTAACCCGGTTTTAAATTATGTGAACGTACAGTCGCCGCTCCGAGATGGGAGGCGGATTGGGAATTAGGTGGTGCGCGCTATTGTTCTAGATAAATATAGGCGAGGGCGAAGCGTAACACAGAAACCCTAGCACATAAATACTCATACATAAATGATATTAATGACAAACTTTATATGTGCTATATAGATGCATATAATGCTACAAGCTTTGAGTTATGAATAATGCGGATTATATTATTTCGTATATTTGTAGATTATAGCGAAATAAATAAATCTTTAGCGGTTTTGT